AGTAGGGTATAATTATAAGTACTTGACTATACAATATACTGGCAGTGTAAGAATACGTGGACTGGATGTGCAAAAGACAATATTATTCAATAAAAAGGTCTGTAATATTAAAGTGGTTTAAATTAACACACGTAGTGTAGTGCAGGGTACATGGTGCAAAGGTGACAGGTATGTTAGTGCAGTTCTGTGATGGTGGCTCTGACAGAGGTAGATGAGTTGTAGAGTCTTATTGCGGTTGGGAGGAACGATTTCCTGTATCGCTCCTTAGAGGCTTCACTTTGCAAACCAGAAGTCTACGTCCATTTTCATAAACAGTCTATGTTCTTTGTCATGGATTAACTTTCTTACGATGAAACTAAAAAACTAAGCTAAGTAAATAAACTGACAACGTCTCTGTAATGTTGGGGACACAGAAGTGGACAGACGTGATTGATTGTTAGATTTTTTCGTTTTGTTGATTTGATGGGAAGAGATGCAAGTGTTCTTATTGTCTCTCTGTTAAATGAGCGAAATGTGTAAAAGCACCTGATCAGCTGAGTGAGTTCAGGCTGCAGTAATGTGGTGGTGTCTGGTGGCAGTGAGGTGATGGTGCGTTGCCTTAAACGAGGCAGGATGGGACGCGTCAGTTCTGGGAAACGGACGCCTTCAGACACGAGTAATGATCATGAGCTCATGTGTAGAGGTTGAACCTGCACAGTAAACCTTGTCAATCATGCTGAGCCGTGAGTTCCACACGACTCATTGACTAACTGAGGGCTGCTCAATACGTTGAGAGACATTTATCTGTGATCAGTTCAACTGTTCATAACATAAACATAAAACTAACCGTGTCTAGAAGTTTGTTCTAATCTCTTCTCATCAAAAACAGCCATCCTCAAAACATCTTATTACATATTCAGTGTCGAGAGTTAGTCTGATCATTATTTTAATACGACCCAGTGAACAACACGAGGTTATGTTTTCACCCCTGTCCTTCAGTTCGTTGGAGTGGAGATATGAGCTTTAAAACTGGAACCGTTGAAGAACCACGTTATATATTTCTCAGGAGTTTGAGGGAAAACAGAAGAACATTGATCTGACAGACAAAAATATAACTCTATATAAATGGAAACGTTAATAATTGCGTTTCACTGAGCATAAATGGCATATGTGTGTTTTTAGTTTGCTCCACTGTCAGACCGGGACTAAAACATATCAGTGTTGTGATTGAAATACCCAACCACGTCTTTTCTCTTTCTCTTCTTCTATAAATCCACTTTTTCGATCACATCTGTATTGATCTGAACTCTTGTTTTCTCCAAACTGTCTTGTGAGCGACCTGAGCCCCGAAGCATCTGTGTGATGTTATCTTCTCTGTCAGAAGTCTTGGGACATGAAGTCATCTTCTACAAAAGTCAAAGCCTGGTCTGAAATAGACGTCCCCTTCGCCTTATTTGCTCCCCCTGTGACTATTCCTGAGTCTTTGGGACCAGCTTGTCTTACTGATGCACCTGACTCGCTGCGGTGATGTCCAGCATGTTTACAGCTCCACTCAGATCACTGGCTCCGGATGTGAAGAGGAGCATGGTTGTTTCTGTATCTGTGACTGTAACATTATGTTGCTGTGCGACGTCTGCCCTTGACTTCAAATGTTTTACCGTCCTGTTTTATTCCCACGCACCTTGTTGCCTCTGCATGCCACACATTGAGGCAGCGTGAGGTAATGAGGATGACAAACTTTAGGGCCCTGAGCTGAGGTCAGAGGTCGACGTGTTCAGCGGGTGTCATCTAAACAGGCCGTGGCCACCACAGTCCGTTTTAGTTTCACGGGAGAGCGAGCGGAGGTCAGAGTCTCTGAAGGGCCGCACCGATCGCGTAAATCTTGTGAGGCTGGTATGTAAACAACTTGACTCACTTGAGCACTCAAGACATTTGTTTGTGCATCAACAGGTGCAGCGGCTGACGTCAGGCGATACTGGTGTTTGATCGCTGGACGTCAGGGGGAGACTTTGATGGCTCATTCACGTCTGCTAACGGCTTCAATGAAACATTTCACATGTGAAAACTTTAAGAACTGAGATTTAAATCTTTTAACATTTCTGCACTTTGCTCCGACAATTGTCTCACTTCATCGTGAGAAACATCCCTCTTCAAGTCCGGTGTTAAAAATGTGATCTTGAGTCTTTTTCACCACAGGTTGAGCAGCTTGGTGCGAACTCAGCCTTTGTGTCATGACATAGACATTCCCAGCTCCTGTTACGTTTGGAAAACTCATACCTTCATGATTACCTAACTACCGTGTGTGTGTGTGTGTGTGTGTGTGTGTGTGTGAGAGAGACACCTGTGGCTGAGAGCTGGGGGATGAGAAGCCTGAATGATTTAAAAATGTAATAAACATTATAGATGAGAGGCCTGAACATAAATAGATCATAAACTAAAAATAAAACACAAACTATAACACAGAACTTTATTATTCTAATGACCGCAGCCAAAGAGGTGATCTTTTCACCTCTGTCCAAAAACTGGAACAGACATGTTCACAACAACAGCTGTTTTTGTTTAAAGCACATCGATACTGCCGTCGGCCCTTAAAGACAACGTCACTGAGACTCTGTCTCATCCTCGGATATTTGTATTCTTCCAGTTTTGTGTCCGTCACGTGTTAGAAACCTCATCAACTCGCTCACTGGGATTTATCCAGAAAAGAGCTGCTGCGTTCTCACATGGGCTCACTCGGACATTTTGCATTAATTTAAGAAAGTTCCGTAAAAGGCAACTGGCTTGAGATTTGTGTTGTCAAATAGAGCTCCTCTGGAAAAGTCTTATCATAGCACTGATGTCTATGAGTGATGTGGTGAAGCTTGGTTGAATGTTGGGTGTTAGTGGAGGTTTGAACTCTACAGAGTGTAAATCAGAATCAGAATCCTTTAGTGTCAATGTTCAACATTGTCACCAACATTAAAACAGTGAAAAAAAAATTTTGCAGCTAAATCTGGTTTCACCTGAATTTTTCCCTCAAAGGTTTCAGGTTAGTTACAACCAAATAACATGAAAACGAGTTTTTCCACAATCGAGCCAGGCAGATACATCAGGGTTTTAATACTGTTTTCACCCACGGGAGCGAAGCTACCTGTGGATTTGTCTGTTGTGAGCTGGAACACTCAGTAACAACCACATGAAACAACATGAAACCTTGAGAATAGGAGGAAATAAAAGCAGAATATATTCAGTTCATTTACCAACAGAGGAGAGACGTTATGCTTTCTGTGATTTGAATGAACTAACTCTTTAACTGCAGCTCTTCTACTGTGCAAAAATGTAAAATGCTAAACTTTAAGTGAACGTATCATGAGGCCTCAGCAGTCAGAGGGAATAACTCAAACTGAGCTCCGACAATGTTTAAGCCATTTGTGCCCCCCCCCCCCCCCCCCCCCACGTGTTCTGCTTCAGAGATGTGATGCAGAGATAGTGACATGAAAAAAGATAATTTATGCTTGAAAAAGCCAAAGATGTGTTAGTTAGTCCCACATCATATATTTCTGATACAGTTTCCTCACTGACAATTGTTTTAATTTGTGAACGTTCCAGTTGAACCAAACAATGGACGTGAAAAGGTTGCGACTCTGACAGATGTTCAGTCATGACCGAGACAGTGACGACATCAGCATCATCTGCTGACACCTCCTGAACCCGCACTCACTCCCTGATTCAGGAAGTTTTCTCTGACGTCAGCTCTCTGTAAAAGCTCCTTCTTCTGCGACGTCAAACTCATTAAAACAATGTTAATTCCTGGGTTAAGTGCCTTTGTAACCAGGGAGACTTCCTAAGGGCCAGTGAGCGTCATAAAACCATTCGAACGTTGGTGCTATTGTTGTGAGGCCGGCGCGAAGTGGAACAAAAAAAGGTCATGTCAGAAGTGGACTAATAGATCCGGCCACTTTTAGAAAAAAAAAAAAAGAAACATTAACATTTGAAAATGTTGAGGAGCTAAAAAATATAGAGCTTGGTAAAGTTTTTATAGAGGTGTTTTTTTATTTTAATCTCAGAAATAGATTTAGTCATTATATTATCACTTTTATTGGAGTATTACAATAAAAAACATGTAAACAATTATTTAAACATATTTCAAATAATCAATACATGTACAGGGAATCAGACAATCATACGTTTTGGAATGTTAGTGCATGTATGAATGTTCAGTGTCATTCATTTGGTCTGAAGACATGACAGTGGTGAAAGCCTGAAGCTTAGAGGAGGTGTTTCCATTCCTGTCAACCCTCCTCCTCCTCCTCCTCCTCCTCCTCCTCCTCCTCTAGGAGCTGGACGTGTGACATCAGCAGCAATAATGAAGGCAGCTCATCAATGGCTGAGCCCAGTGGCTATAAAAGGAGGCCAGAGAGTCCAGTGCTCATCATAACTGATTGGAGCTAAACACCAGAGGAAGACTGACTTCATGAAAAGCCTTTACTGAGGAGAACCCACCCCCACAGGTTTGTTCAGCATGGTTTAAATGATCACTGACGGGATGTAGAGGAGGACGAAATGTCTCAAATCAAGTTTATTCCTGGTTTCATTTAATCTTTTAGGCTGGATTGAGATGAACTTGATCATTTAGATGAGAGAAAATGATGATTTCATGACAGAACAACTTAAATCTTGATAAAACTGAATTGATTTTCATCACGTTCGATCACCTTCACTTCTAGGAGGGGTTTAAAAATATTAAAATGTATGAAAAGCTTTGAAAGTAACAAGGAAATATGATTTTGACGTTGTTTTTCTTTCACAGGTCAACAAGGTCAACATGCGAAATATGGAATTTCACACTATAGTGTTTATTTCACTCTGCATTTTACACCTGTCCACTCTCGGTGAAGGACGCCCCCTCAGGTAAATTCACCACATCCTCTCCCAGATCAATTCATATCATGATAATCAATAAGAATCCTTCATTGATCTTTGTGGGGGTAAACAGAATAAATACAGGTGAAAGTCTAAATAGAATAGAATCAAATCTGTTTATTCAGAGCTAAAGAAAATGCACAATATATGTGTGATAGGCCTTTACATTGCACCACAAGGTCCTTATACCTCTAATTAACTATTTAATTGACTCATTCTTATCAGCAGCCTGTGTTTTCCTGCTCAGATGAATTAATGCATTGCCTGTCTCATGGTCCACGTGTACAGAAAGAGGACGGTGAGCGAGGTCCAGCTCATGCACAACCTCGGGGAGCACCAGCAGCTGCAGGAGCGGCGGGACTGGCTCCAGCTGCGGCTGCGGGGCCTCCACACGGCCGCAGCCCGGGGCAGCAGCCCGGAGGCGGCGCTGGCGAGGCGGAGGAGGCCGCGAACCGAGGAGCCGCCGGTGCCGGAGCTCACACCGCAGGAGATCCAGAAGGCGTTGACCTTCCTGGAGAAACTGCTCAAGTCTCCGCAGACGTGACTTTAAATTATTTAAATTTTTATTTTTTACAACATTCTTATTATTACAGAGTTTCAGGCTGCTGTCTATTTTTTTTTATTAATTTTAAAACGTTGTTCGTTTTATTATCATAATGCACTTGTTTTTATTTATTATATGGCTTCACTTTGTTTGTGACATTTTATTTATGATTTTATGAAACTTCCTTGTTGTGTTTGCACTTTAATACATTTCACAAACTGAAGGAGACCAACACTGTTTTATATGTATGTACCAGTGTAGTTTAAATGTATTTAATCCATAGAATATAGCTGATTACATATCGTGATCTCATAAAGTTAGATTAACCTGTATTTGGACTGTAAACGCATGTTTTGCTGTAAACTCGAACAAAACAGAAATAAATTGTATATTTTTATACGCAGACTAGTGTAACCGTCGAGTGTAAGTGTAACTGTGAGATTAACTTTTGTACCTGGCGACGATGTGAATGAACAAATGAACCAAACTCAATTAAAAGTTATTTGTCTTAAATATCCTCACCCGCGAGATTCCGTGTTGTCTCGCGATATCAGCCCACGTGATCTTCGCAGACCAAAACAAAGATGGAGCGGATGTGAGCTAACGTCAGCTAACGTCGCCTCGATCCCTCTCGTCGCTGTTTCTGTGTCTTCTCCACTCGCTTCATCTCACGTCGGAGCATTTCATCGTCCAGGGGGAGACCCGTCCGCTCGGCGATGCAACACAAGGAGGTAAAGTTGTTCACGGCGGTGGGTTTACCAAGCTAACCGAGCTAACGTTAGCCGACCGACTGCTCTCAGCCCGGTGGTTCGGCGGCTCAAGCTAACTCAGCAGGTCGACTCCGAAAGTGTCGAGTCCTCTGCTCCGCTGAGAAATCTGTGAGAAATAACAAAGGCGAGTCCAAAACAGGAAGAACAACAGCTCAGGAGGAAAGCGAACAGATCAGAGGTTAAAGTTCACGAGACAGAATCAGGAGGAATCTCTCTCTCAGTCTTTCTGTAGCTAATGCTAACCAGTGCAACTGGTACATTAAACAACTGACCCTGTCGTCCACGCCTGGTCCGTCACTGTAGATGGAAACACTTCGTATATATATATATATATATATATATGTGTGTGTGTGTGTTTTCCCTTTTAATAGGATGAGTAATAACAGGACGAGGTTTTTTTCTCCTAAACGAGATAAAAGTGACACAGCGAACATTCATCCTTTCTTATGTAAAGTATAAAAAGTACATAAGAGGTGAAAGTTGGTGAGTTTATGATATAATATCTATTATAGGTGTTCCTATTAGTTAACATTAACAGGCTGAGATACCAACATGTCCAGGCTATAGTGTAAAGTGTGAATAAAATATATAGTGTACATCCTCCTATCTATATATCTATATATCTATATAAAAATATATATATATATATATATATACACATATATACACACTTTATATGCACTGTATGACCTGGACATGTAACTTGTAGGGGCCCCCATGTACTGCAGATAGTACATTCGATTCACCAACTTTAATGCCAGTTTAATAGTCTGCTTTTGTCATGTGTACATTTGATCTAATTTAGTACCAAAAGTCACCTGGTCAGCTCATAAAGGGAGTTCAAGTCATTGTGAATTAGTAATTACAGAGTTGAATCGATCATTGACTATTATACAAAAAACAACACTTGGGACCTTGTTATCCAGTGGAGAGATTGAGCGGTGAGGATGTTGGTTTTGTAGATGCTCCTCTGGTTAATCCCTCTCTGCTTAAATTATCTGAATTTTAACTTAAAGATAAACTATGGTCCAGCCACGGGTGATGTATCGATGATTGCGTCTGACATCTGTGATGTAGATCTTAAATAAAGGGTATGATTTTCACGTGGGTGCTGATAAAGATGGTAAATAAGATAAGTTATGGCATCTGTATTATATTGATGAAGGCGGCAGCAACATTTATTCAGCAGTGTGCCTTAATCTGGTGAACTGAATGTACTGTGCTGTCATCTTATTGTGTAAAGGAGTCCCCTGGTGTCTCTAAGATGAAATTGCTTCTTCAGTTCCAAGTAAACCAGGGCCTTTAAAAACAGTTTCTGAAGCTGATGGTGGTAGCATGCTGATAGCTTGTTGTATTTCACACTTCCCAACATGATGATGTTGAAATCACAGAGGAAAATATTTGAGTTAACGCTCATATTTTAATAGGCTTGTGTTTGTATATTTGTGTGTAGTGGTCAAAATATATTTATCTCATATATTAAGCCCCAGGAGGCTTTTGGGACACTTCTCATGTTAGTAGTGTTGTACGTATTTATATTTGCTTTTATGGAATGTACACATATTTTCTTGCTTTATATATTTTTTAAACTCGGTTTTCATTGTTGAAGGCAAAGAAATAAACGCTTTGAACTTTGGCTATTGTAAAAAACATGGAGGCTTCGGTAGAGAGGACCCACTCACGATGTAATTATAAAGTATGTAAATATAAAGGGCCCCGTCTAGGGTAAAGCACCATTTGTATAATTTAGATGAAACACATTAGTGAAAACATCACTAGGTTTATTTTGTATTAAATGTCTGCCAAAAGATCCCTTTAACCTAAATCTTACGCACCGGACCTTTAAAACCACCACTGATGTATTCCATCGAATCACAGTCCTGTGATCCGCAGTGTCTCTTTAAGATGACGATTTAAATGGATGTTGTTATTAACGACCAGCGTCCTCGAGACCAACGCGTAGGCGGAGACTCGGGTGTCGGAGAATACGAGGAGCACGTGAACGCAGCATCGCTCGGCTTCGGTCGAGCACGCGGCCATTCACAGTTTCTCTGAATGAGCCGGTGCGCGCCTCCGCTTCTCACGGTCACAGCTCTGCGTGGATTCACGTCCTCCGTGTTTTAATCCGGATTAACTGAACCCGAGGAGGAGAAGTCCGGCTCGAGTGTGTGAGACGATGCTGAGGAAGTTGGAAAGTAATGAGCGAGGATGCTGAAGCTGCCGAAGCTGCCGGAGAGCCCGCTTTGTTCGGAGGAGCTCCGGGCTTCTGTGCCGCTGTCATCCCGCAGCTCATCCCCTGCTGCTTTGTCTTCACCCGGCCCCGTGAAGCCGAGCGGTAGGTGCACGTCCTCCATCCAGAGCTCCATCCAGAGCTCCATCCAGCTCCGTCATTGTTGTGGTGATTTCCTGTGATTACAGGATTTATGATATTGGCCCAGACAGAGAATCACACACCATCATCCGGTGTGAGTCTCAGTTTCACTCTCTGCTGCTGAACAGGCAAATCAAATCATGATCTTCTATCTCCTTCATATTTTATCATTATCTATTGTTTTCCGGTTTGCATAATTTCCTTTTGAGTGAGGATGCTGTCAAAGGGACATTTCTCAGTCTTATTTTTTGTGTGCAGACTGCAGCTTCCCTGCCTTTGCCCGTCAGCACGTCTGTGTCAGCAGCCCCTAAATAATAGATGGGACCCTCACCTCGTGCTTTTAATAGACCTCCTGCTCGGACGCTTTGCATCTTTTGTCTGAGTTATTGTGTCTTCGATGGGCTGAGGGACCTCGCTCTTACGTGCATGTCAAACCTTGATGCAGCAGAGCATCACAGGCTTTTCAACAAAGGAAGAAAGGTGCTTGTGGAGGTTGCTGCCCGGTAACAGGAAATTGGACAAGTGAAACGTTAGCACCCTCTCGTTGTTTGCCGGCCGCTGTGTGAAATCTTGGTGGCTGTAGATTTGCATTACCATGTGAAAGAGGAGAGGAGCTGCTGTAATGTTAAGAGTGAAGTATTGCCTCCTCAGTTCCTTTGTTCGCTCTGCTGATCCGGACACTGGCTGCCTGCCTGTTTGGCTGGAAGAGCTGCTTTTGTTTTTTATCGTCCCAGTTCTGCAAAACATTGAATCCTATCAGAGATAAAACATTTATGCTGTGTCAGGCACTCGTGTAATTACACACAACACCAAACAGCAGTCACTTAGGCACTGAACTGCCTCTATTTCAAAAGGGAACCCTAAATGTCATGAGCTTGTCTAACCTTGGTAAAAAATGAATCACAAACCTGACTAGTGTTCTTTGTCTTTTGAAAATGAGCCTTTATGCCTGTGCTGTAATTAGAGGCAGGATGTCCTCTCTCCACGTCATCTATGGTTCACCTGAGCACACGGAGGCAGACGGCTGCTGCGGTGACCCTCGTCCTGTGTTCAAGGACATCTCCAGACACACTGGGATACCAGACATGTTAAACAGAAGGAGACAGTGAGGAGATCTTGCGTTAGTCTTTGATTTTTGAGATGAAATGAATAGAATTTGAAAAGCAAAAGGGAATTTGCACCCTATGCATTGATGATTTAAACATCTTAAATGTTGGTATTGTTAAATGTATATTTAAATCTTTAAATACAGGGTAGGCTTTGTGTTAATGTTTTGTGTAGATCATTGGGTCTTCCTCCATCTAAATAGCAGTAAATCTGTGACCTTGCCTGGGTGTAGCAGGTGTTGGTGAGGATTCAAGGTGAAGTGCAGTCATCACACCATGTTCTTGATGGCTCTCTGTCATCTTCAGTTCTCTGGTCTGTTCTGTCTGGGTCAGTTTAGCCAAATAGCCTCACACTCTGATATTTTCTGGACATTTTCTGAGCAGACTGGCAGGAAAAGTTCTGGAGCATCTGACTCGGACATTTGCGTTCTCACATACAGCCCCTCCAGGTAGTGGTTGTTACTATGGTTGTTATAAAGGCCATAGTGCTACTTAAAGATGTGATGATATATAAAGATAACAGCAGCAGTTAAAAATAATAACAATAGTTATTTATTCATTAATGTAGAGTGCACTCTTCACTTGATTGGTTTTAGTATAACACCTACATATAAAATCTGCTTCAGTAAAGTAGGTCAGAGCTTTATGTGTTAGTGGTTTATTCATGTGCATCCACTACAGTGCAGAGCAGGAAGTGGTACGCTGGCCCTTTATACGTCATTAATTCAATTTTTATAAAACGATAAAAATAAGTCTGTCCTCATGCTCTTCAGTGTCCATCTCTGATGCAGTAGACGATCATCA